TATTAATTTCTTCAAACGACAGTGATTAATGCTACCACCGTAATGATCAGATGGTTTCGTCAACAATTCTATTTGAACATGCTGCTACATTCGAGTAAACAGCTGCTGGAAGAAACTTCTTTCATCCATAACGAACGATGGTTCAGCGCAGAGTAAAGACCACGGGAAAATGCCTAATAAGTATCGAAGTTCCATGATATGAACATTACACCAATTTTGACAGCGGTTTGATTCGAAATATTTTCACCAAAAATATTCTTGCTTGAAATAAGCTATTGAAATCAAAGGATGATTTTGAAATGTCAGGCGTGAAATACCTGAACCACTTCTAGTCACCATTTTTCTCTAGCCCAATCTTTAGTCTTTTGCGTAGGAAAGATACCGGGACCACTTAATTCGAAATTTAGACTTAAAATCAAAATAATTATCTGACTGTATAAGCAAATTTTCCCTAAATAATCAAATTTCGCTATCGAAGTCAGCGATAGGAAGCCGAATTTTAATTCGTATCCCTCTACATAAAAAGAAAACTTATTTAACAAACAAATTACCCGGAAAGCACATGTTTAAAACAGGATAAGGTAAAGATTAGTTGGAAGCTCAACGCCGACGCTCGCTTCGCTCAAGTGATACCGATTGCCTAGCCGCTGTCGACTACGTCGTATGTAATCGTACGACTACGTACGTACGTACGTAGTCAACAGCGTACGACATTTACGTACTCTGTTGATTAGGTGGTCTATATAATGGCTGTGAGTCCACCTGTGAATAGTGAATAATGACTGAGAGGACCAAGGCCCAGACGTCGACATTACACATTTTTTTCTGACCCATTTCTCACCACGTCATGTTTCAAAAAAAATTTGGTCAAACCTTCCTCTTCTGACCCATTTCTTTCACAGCCCACTTTATTTTGACCCACTTCTCACCACACCAGATTTCTCGACTACCATTTGTTCAAACCCCCCTCCTTTTCTGACCCATCTCTTTCACAGCCCATTTTATCTTGACCCACTTCTCACCACGCCAGGTTGCTGAATGACCATTCGGCCAAAACCCTCCTTTTCTGACCCATCTTTTCAAGCCCACTTTATCTTGACCCACTTTCTCACCACGCCAGGTTCCTGAACAACAATTTTCCCAAACTCTCCTTTTCTGACCCATCTTTCCACAGCCTACTTTATTTTGACCCAACGACCATTTGGTCAAACCCTCCTTTTCTGACCCATCTCTTTCCATAACCCACTTTATTTTGACCCACTTCTCACCACTCCAGGTTCCTGAACAACAAGGAACTGACGGGGGGCGCCGGGGGCGTTGCCCTCCGACACGAGGGTGACAAATATGTCCTGGAGAGGACGGGGTGCGACCCTGACCACAGCGGGGAGTACTGCTGCAAACTCAAGAACAAGATCAAGGAGGTGGCTGTCACTGGCAACGTTACTGTCTATGGTGGGTGTTACTGTCTATGGTGGGTGTTACTGGCAACGTTACTGTCTATGGTGGGTGTTACTGTCTATGGTGGGTGTTACTGGCAACGGTGGGTGATACTGGCAACGTTACTGTCTACGGTGGGTGTTACTGGCAACGTTACTGTCTATGGTGAGTGTTACTGGCAACGGTGGGTGTTACTGGCAACGTTACTGTCTATGGTGGGTGTTATTGTCTATGGTGGGTGTTACTGGCAACGTTACTGTCTACGGTGGGTGTTACTGGCAACGGTGGGTGTTACTGGCAACGTTACTGTCTACGGTGGCTGTCACTGGCAACGTTACTGTCTATGGTGGGTGTTAGTGGCAATGGTGGGTGTTACTGGTAACGTTACTGTCTACGGTGGGTGTTACTGGCAACGGTGGGTGTTACTGGCAACGGTACTGTCTATGGTGGGTGTTACTGGCAACGGTGGCTGTCACTGGCAACGTTACTGTCTATGGTGGGTGTTACTGGCAACGGTGGCTGTCACTGGCAACGTTACTGTCTATGGTGGGTGTTAGTGTCTATGGTGGGTGTTACTGGCAACGTTACTGTCTATGGTGGGTGTTAGTGTCTATGGTGGTTGTTACTGGACATGTTACGGTCTATGGTGGGTATTGCTGTCTATGGTGGGTACTGCTGTAAATATACTGTCTAAGGGAAGAACTTTTGAATACTTTAATCAAAAATTTGTAATAAAAAGCTTGAACACACTACAGCAGAATGTTGTGCTTATGCATGCAAATTTGCTACTCAAAAACTTCTCCCTCTATGCTCCGTCAGTCTAGAATAAAATTCAATTGACGGCTCACTAACATACCCTGATGCGAACTGCGCACAACTGTATTTTCAAACAAGAAACGATCGCTCTAACATTTTTTTGGAAATTTTAATATTATACGATGTGTTTTACAATCTTAATTCTATCCCTTCCCCTTTTCCCCTTTTTCAACTCCCCGCTAAGAAGGTAGGCCTTCTCTCTCACCTTATTACCCTCCTTTTACCCTTTACCCAATTCCCGCAGAAAAAGATTTGATCCCTTCCTCATAATATTCTCATTTCAACTCCCTCCCTCACCTCCTCTTGCAGAGAAAGAAACCCCTCCTTCCGCCTAAAACTCCCATATTATCCTCCTCTCCCCTCCTTCCCCCACTATCCTCCTCTCTCCTATTCTCTCCCCAACAGAGAAGGAGGCCCGGGTGCGCCGCCCCCTGCAGGATATTTTCGTGAAGGAATTTACTGCGGCGACGCTCACCTGCCAGATTGTGGGAGACCCCGTGCCTTCTGTTGAGTGGTGAGTGGGGGTGCCTTCTGTTGAGTGGTGAGTGGGGGTGCCCTCTGTTGAGTGGTGAGTGGGGGTGCCTTCTGTTGAGTGGTGAGTGGGGGTGCCTTCTGTTGAGTGGTGAGTGGGGGTGCCTTCTGTTGAGTGGTGAGTGGGGGACCCCGTCCCTACTGTTGACTGGCGAGTGGGGGTACTCTTTTGTTGGTTGGTGAGTGGGGGAGCCCGTGATTTCTTACGAGTGGTGAGTGGGGTAGCCCTCTGTTGAGTGGTGAGTGGGTTCACCCCGTCCCTACTGTTGACTGGCGAGTGGGGGTACTCTATTGTTGGTTGGTGAGTGGGGAAGCCTATCCCTTCTGTTGAATGGTGATTGGGTTACCCTACTGTTGAGTGGTGAATGGGGGAGCTTTCTGGAGAGTGATAAGAGGGTGACCCATCTGTTGAGTGGTAAGTGGAGGCCCCTCTGTCGTGTGGGACCTTCTAAAATTATCGGTCATCCGTTAACGGTCACTCTTCTGCCCATTAGGCTGCGTGACGGCAAGCCCATTCCGCCGTCGGGACGTTTCGACATCACCGAGGACCGTTCGACGCACGTCCACACGCTCGTCTTCAAAGACGTCGCAGAGAAGGACCAATCTACGTTCTCGGTGAAGGGCACCAACACCCACGGCACTTGCGAGACGTCGGTACGTCTAATGGATCTTATTAGTAGACGTTGCTAGGTTTACAGGACGTTAATGATAATGAGAGGAGATAGTTCCGATGTTAGGTGGTGGTTGAAGTACCTTGGAGGGTAGGTAGTGTTTAGATGTTAGGTGGTGGTTAAAGTACCTTGGAGGGTAGGTAGTGATTAGATGTTCGGTGGCGGTTGAAGTACATTGGAGGGAGGTGGTGCTTAGATGTTTGAAAGTGGTTAAAGTTCCTTGGAGGGTAGGTAGTGGTTATATGTTCGGTGGTGGTTGAAGTACCGTAGTAGTAGATGAGGGCAGTTGACGGAACCAACATTTGTGGGACGCCTAATACGTTGTTTTGAGGTTCAGTGACGAAAACGGCCGTGGAGATAGTTGGATATCTAGCGGATGACTGGTTTGGGTAGTCGGGAGGAGAGGAGGCCGTACATCACAAACCGATGGTCTCCGATGGCTGTCTGTGTCGAAGGCTTTTGTGAAGTCCAGGCAGTGAGCGCAGTGAATACCCTAACAAAATTTAGAGTCGCCCCAGCTTCTGGTAATCCAAATCAGAAGCAGACACGTCTGTAAATTTTCACTGGGTAGAGAGTTTGGTGAGCAGGCCATTATTGGTTCAGACCATTGATGATATCCGTAGTGAGTAAAGTGAAATGTTGTGCGGCTTCGGTTGTCAGGCATTGTCATTGGTGAGCATGCAATTGATGACATTTTTAAAGAGGCCAAGTTTTGAGTGCATGTAGCTGTGCGAAGGAATATTGTGCTTGCTTGCAGTGATTAGAATTTTGTAAAATTGTCGATCGGTTGTTGGTAGGTCGATGGGAAAAGAAAAATTCGTTAAAGGCTCTTCGGTTTCGGCAGTGTATTTTTTCCAATCGGCTTTGGCAAAGTTAATCAAAGTGATTTTGGGGTTTTGGTTGCCTGATAGTCTATTGATAGTCTACCTACAGTGTGATGTAGATTGGCAGGGGCTAGAACGATAGAACAGGCATGGTGGATCAGATAGACGTCGGTACGTCTAATGGACGCTAGCAGTAGACGTAACACTTCTAATGGACGTTAATGGTAGACGTGGGTACGTCTAATGGACGTTAACGGAAGACATACGGAAAACATTGGTGCGTCTAATGGACGTTAACGGATTGGTACGTCTAATGGACGCCAACAGTAGACGTCGGTACGTTTTATGGACGTTTACGGTGGAAACAATAAAAAATTAAAAAATGTCATTAGCAATTTAAAAAAAATTTCCATAACATCATTAATTAATCGTTTAGGTGGGTCAAGGGGTGGGTCAAGGGGTGGGTCAAAGGGTGAGTCAAGGGGTGGGTCTAAGGGTGTCAAGGAGTATGTCAAGAGGTATGTCAAGGGGTCAGTCACGGGTGGATCAAAACGTGGGTCAAGGGGTGGGTCATGAGGTGTGTCATGACGTGGGTCAAGGGGTATATCAAGGGGTCGGTCTAAGGGTATCAAGGGGTCGGTCTAAGGGTGTCAAGGGGTGGGTCCAGAAGTGGGTCAAGAAGTGGGTCAGGTCCCCTCACTATCACCGTCCCCCTCGTCAGGACGAAGGACGGCAAGTCCTACACGGGGGAGGCGGGACGCGTCGTCCTCAAGAAGGAGGGCGACGAGGTCTACGTCTTATGGACGGACGACGCCAAGACGTGCGACTCAGGACGCTACGTCGCCCACGTCAGCAACTGTGAGGGCGGCGTCACGTCAGAGGCGTCGTACGTCGTGAATAGTGAGTGACGTTACGTGTTATATAGTGGTTACATATTATAATAGTGTTAAGATATTATAATAGTTATAATAATAAAGTACGACGTACGTCGTCAACAGTGAGTGACGTGCGGTGACGTGTCATATAGTGGTAACATATATTATAATAGTGTTTATTTATTATTATAGTGGTAATAATTTAAATAATAATATAGGTATATGTCGTGCTGAAATCGCGGTATTGCCGATTCTATGGAATCGGCAGCCAGTTTTCAGAAATAGTGTTAATATATACGTAATGATAGTTTTAATATTAAAATAATAATATTTATGTCGGGCTGAAATCGTAGAATTGCCGATTCTATGGAATCGGCAGCCAGTTTGCCGAATATGTAGAATCAGTCAAGAGCCAAGTTTTTTCAGTCAGTTAAGATGTCAGAAAGCCAAGTTTAATTTAATATTTAAATATCAAGGAACTTGACCGAACTTGACCTAGTGGTTATAGTGATGTAAGACTAATACTATGTTACTAGTATCACGGCGCTAGTGTCACACTAGTTACCGAATTTATTTGATGCTGGGGCTAGCACATTACAATTTAAAATGTTGTATCACATTCTATACATTTATCACATTCATTAAA